ATGAATTATATAAGTTAAAATATGAACAGGTATATCAATTATTGAAATTCTTAAAATTTTGTATATAATACTTAAGTAAATTTTCTAGATCTTTTGGTATTTACAAGCTATAATAAACTATCGTACTGGAGTTAGAACCAATCAATCTTTACTTAAATCTGCCGCACATAGAATATTTGCTCCTATCTGGTCTTCCAGGCGACATCCTATTTATCAAGCAATTGAGATGGCCGATGAGGAATAACTAATGTGTCTTCATCCAGAGATTCGCTAACTTATCGAACAGAATGTGGTTGTATCATGATCAGGATGGTCAAACCAGCATCAGGAATTAGATGCCATACTTGAGGAGGTGAACAAAATGCTAAAGACACTCATACCACCTATACCGGCTCAAAAATATTGGGAGATGGCTGCAAGGAATTATACAAAGTTTATGGAGGCAAGAAAATAAAAGTATCATTGTTGATTGATTGTATTATTAACTTTTCTTCTGCAGATAAAAATAACCTTTTCCTTCAGCATCGATCAGTTACGAAAAGCATTATTTGCTTTAATCGGATATTCAGATTCTGAAAGCATAAATCCACGAACGCATTCAGATTATGTAATCGAATCACAATATTTTTGAGTTCAACTAAGAAAAACCAGTTTCTTAAATTTACATGAAAATAATCGTCATTTTGAGAGTTTAGGCGAAGATAATAAATTGAGTGAAGAAATGAAACTATTTAGCATTACGGCTTGAGCTCGACACATTAATTATATAAAAGAAAAGCTGACCTTAACAAAACTATTAAGCTTTATTCGTCCTATTCCCGTTACTTTCGATGAATCGTAGTTACAGTCAATAGAAGGTTTAATGAAAAAAGAAGAGTTGATATTTATAATCGAATCATTGGTTGGATCCTTAAATGAGACTAATCGATCACAATTCCAAGAATTAAAATCGAAAAAAAAAGATGAGCTTTTAGTAATTCTATAACAAGTTCAGGATCTTATCAATCTGACTAATAGCGATGAAGCAGAAAATACGATATAAAATAGCAGATTATGAATTTTATTAATTTTAATTTAGTTTGTAGCACAAATAAATTTTGTATTACCGTTGATCCCAATAAACTTCTAGAATATCAATCATTTATATATTTAGAAATTCTATATATGGAAAAACACCAGACTGAATTGAGATTAAAAATCTTCAATATAGTCAAGAATGCGTAGCGTGTTGTAATCGCGTCAAAAGTTCTACTTTCTGCAGATTCTCCAAAGAAAAGTGACATGTTTGAAAGAAGTATAAACGCGCAATTATAGCATTTCAAAGCTGAAGAAAATTTTCAAAGACGTGTACAGTTTCTTATGAATACATCTTGATCATTATTTATATCTGAAGAGAATATAAGCGAAACTCCTAAGAGAATTCAAAGAGACAGAGCTTGTGAATAATCATGTTATTGAAGAATAAGCATTTCAACTTATTAGGAAATGTATGTAGAATTTAATTCCATTTATTGCTCTTTTGTAGTTCAATTTGTAATTAGGTGCATTATGTGAAATAATTTCTATAAATATTAATTTACATTTTATATTAACAAGGTTTTTGACAGGAATGGTTGACCAGAAACTATGGATAAATACGAAAATAAAGCTATAGAAATAAGAAGTACATGCATTTATATTCAATATATTTATCGTATTATCATTTCCAATTGACTTTTGATTTTTTTATTTTTACAGGAAAAACAGTAGAATGTGAATGTGCTTATTTTGAACAGATAGATAAAATTTATTTACCTTGTATGATTGATGACGACTCTAAAGCAGATGTTAGAATATCGGTATAATATTTATTTTCTATATTAGTTAATCATATTGGAAATATTCATATAAATAAAACAATATTTCCATTATTACTTTATTAACATTATCTTACTTTATCATACTTTGTCATATCTGTTATGAAAAGATTTGCAACAGGATTTTAGAGAACTGTTTAAACATATGAACATGCCGTTCTTTGATGCTTGCTTGACTTTCAAATTATGAAATCATGCACGATTCCTTACTTTGAACGTTCTTTTGATAATGATACTCTTGAAAGAGGATGACATTGAAACCTGGTTCGTTTATTATTGATCTGCTGAAGGAGCATCAAGTGTTAAAGGAGATCAAAAGTTTGAATAATTATCTGTTATACATTTAATAATGAACCTTAAGGTTCCAACAGAGGCAAATTAAATATAGATACTTATAATGCCTCCTGAAGAAAATGCTCATATGAAGGATAAGGTTCCTTTTTTTTTTTTTTTTTTTTGAAAAAATATCAAGATAACGTGTCAATTTATATCCTGTAAATCCATTAAGTATTTTTTTTTCATAAAAAGTTTCTCTCTATTTCATATTCATAAATGTTAATTATGAAGGTTATTTGCTTAAAAATTTACTCGTCAAGCCTCGAAGATTGTCTATATTATCATATGAAAATAGCTTTTATTTAAAGTGATGCTTGATATTTCAATAGATACTGTATATTGATGTCATTTGATTTAAGAAAAAATTGAGTGGGAATTTCGTTATATGTTGGATGATGCTGCAAATTACCGGTTGAAAATTATTATAAGTTAGAAGAAAAACGGTAAGCAATTTCAGGATAGTTCTCCTGAAACTTTTCAAATTTAAGAAATGTTATATACCTATGTATGTTAAGTATTTAATTTATTTTTAATTTATTTTTCTATAATTCTTATTTTAACTTACTAAATTTTATAGAGGATCATATTGAGTTGTGGCAGATACATCATCTAACCTGCGGTATTTTTTAGTATTTTGTTGTCCTCTATTTGGATCTTATGTGTTAAGTTTGACTGATAATTTGTTCTGCGATCTTTATGATACACAGATATACATGTATTTTGAAGCATTTAATGTTTTAATAAAAAATTAAATTTAAGAAGTTAAGGTTATTTAATCTTTAACATTACTTTGATGATTTTATTCATTTTTAAAACATGATAAGATTTGTCAAAAAAATGATGCCCATGTAAAATACTATTCGAATTGTGACAAAAATTCACCAGGCAGCTTAAAATAAAAATGATCATCCAAAAGTTTAAATTACCTTTTAATAGCCATAATAAGACATCAAAATTTTTAGTTTAAAATTATTTTTGTTAATTAAGTAATACTTGTATTAAAAGCCAATTTTTATTAAGAAAAAGAGATGATATCCTAAAATTTTAAATAATTATGTTCTACAACAATCAATATAATTTAAAACTGAAAAATATTAATGTTTAATTATAACTGAAAGATTGCGAAAAAAAATTATCAAATTATAGCGTTATCAATTGGTAAGTTGTAAATCGATTATTAGCTTTAATTTTTTCATATTCGTTTCTTTAATATGCTCTTGAAAATAGATTTGATTCCTTTTATTTTTAACTTAAAACTTTGTAAGAGTTTAAGCTTCTAAAGCTTTTAGATTCTCTGAGCCTAATTTACAACTTTAACCAAAGGTGAGATTTTTTATATAATCCTATTTTACTGTGACTAATCATTTGCTAATTTATAAAATAATAAAATAAACCATAAAAAATATAATAATTACTGTATATAAGTAAAAATGTATTTGTAATATCCTATTACATGTCTTATTTGTAACACCCATTTTTATTTTTCTTAATAATAAATTATTTTAAATATTTTATAAACAAGATTTTTAAATGCAAAATTTAATTTAGAAAACTTTACTTAATGTATCAAAAATAGTTTTATAGACAAAATTTTCAGTTTTAAAAAAATTCTTATTTTCGTTATATAACTGACTTTGTTTTAATTTGCTAAATTATTAATATTACACATAATCTTAAATTTTGATTGAATAAAATTGTGGGTGTTACAAATAAGACATATAATATAATGTTATATAAAATCTAAAAGAAAATTACTATGTATCATCACTGGTATTCAATAGCAGTGTCACGTGATTTCTATTTAAATAATTTGTCATTCTGCATCACTTAATTTTAACTAAAATTTATAATGCTGATTAAAATGCTTTTTTAGAATACTAGATAACATTACATTAATTTAAAAAAGCAAATTTAATTTTGGCAAAAATCCAAATAGAGGTCCCATTCAATTTTTGCAGTATTATATTTATATAATACTAATATTCTAATGTAGTAAAACTTAAAAGCATAGTAATTTATTTTTTAAATTTTACCTAATGATAAATTTTTCAGTCTTGTAATTTGTGCAAAATATTTGTATTTTAGCAAAATTTATATCATATATACTGTAAACAAAGAAAATTAGTCAAAATATTAATTATCAAATTATAAAATATTTAATTTAATCATATCCTGTAGTAAAATAACTAAGCCAAAAAACTAAAGAAAAATTTATTTCTGATATAATAAATATTAAAACAATTATACAAAGATGAAATAACTTTCTTAATTTTTAAAATAGTGTTTTGATCTTTAAATCATTTGATACTTGATGATAAAATCTTATTTAATTATTAATTATAAAAAAGATGGTTTGTAATTATTTATCAATCTAACTTTCAATAATTTTTTTTATTATCATTCTGATTATATAAAGATGAAATAAATCTTATTTTGTTGGTATTAAATTTTTTTTTTTGAAATTTAATATAAATCTTTTTCTATTTTAATTATTCTTAGAAATTTTAGATTCAATTGAATTTCACAAAATTAATAACAATTCTTATTATAATGAGTTATTAATTTCACTTATTATTTTATATTACATAAATAAAAAATCTTTAATTATTTATAAATAAATTAAATTAAATCATTAGTACTAATAAGTTTTAGTTAAATATAATAAGATGTGATTTTGTAAAATTTTAAGAATGAGATAATTAACTTTTTGAAAAATTGTTAATAAAATTCATGATAATGAAATTTTTCAAAAAAAACATACATCTATTGAAAAACAATAAGCAATGGTTCTATATTGATTTATCCTTATTTTCATTTTTACATTTAAAGTCTATTTATACTTTATTTTCATAACTATCTAAATTAAAACTATTAGTTTTATTATTTTCTGTAAGTATTTTATATAAATAACTAATATTACATTCATTTAAATCAGAATAGAAGTCAAAAAATTTACAATTACTGTTTGTATTATTACTTTTTATATTATATTATTTATTATTATCATTTATATCATTTTCTAGCTTTTCTGATTCTTTTGTTAAAATTTTAAGAAGAGAAAATAAAGAAAAATTATTTTTAAGTTTTGATATTTGTAATTAATTGCTTTTTAAAAATTGCAAAAATATGATAAAATAAAATATTTTAACATTTAGATTAAATTTACTTGTATATAATACCTATACAATATTTAATTATTTCAAATAATAAAATGATTTTAATATTTCAATTGTAAAATTTTATTAATGCATTAATTTAAATACAGAATATTCACATGTATTTACTAATATTATTATATAATATAATGTTGATTAAAACAAAATCACATCTTTAAAAAAGTTTATTATATAAAACTATATAATACTTATTAAAATAAATAAATAAATAAATAGTGATAATTTTATTAAATTTTCTCTTTATCTAAAATATAAAATTTGTATCTAGAATTATTTTTCATTTTAAAAAATCTGACATAATGATCTATACTTATAATTTAAATAAATTAAAACTACTAAATATAACTGTCTATAGTTATCATATTACAAATCATTAATTTTATAAATATAAGTAAACATTTAAGCTGATTTATTATATTTATGTAAAATAAAATATTCTACTCATTATATATTTCTTCTTATATAAGATTTCTACTTATATTTATATAATAAGCATTTTATAACTATAATGTTGATCTGAAATAAAATAAATTAAGTAATTTATTATTTTTTAATAAATCTAATCAAATTAATAAATAAAATCTAATACTTATAAATACAGAATAATTGTTTTTACTTTTTATTTTATTTTTTAATATCTATTTAAAACTTATAATATAACTATCTTTTCATATTTTATCATATTTAAAAAAATATTTTAAATTAATTCAAAAATAAATTAGATATAAATTTTTTAATTAATTATAATCTTTTATTGTAATTAAAGTTGCTTATTTAAACTCATTTTAAATTTAGCAAATATTTAAATTGTAGTTTTGCTAATTTTTTACTAAAGTTTTGATATAGTTTTATATTTTTATAAGCTTTAATATATAGTTTTACTTTTTTTAGAATTTCGCAGATTTTTAATAAAATTTTAATAAAATTTTGTTAAATTTTACTTTTTTCCATTTAGATAATTTGCAAAATCTCTAAGTTTCGTTTAGTAATCTTACTTTGATATAAAAAATCAGCTGGTCTTATACTAAATAAAAAATAATAAGAATAATAGTTTTAAAAAATCTTTTATAAAAGAAGAATTAAAAACTATTTTAATGCTGAATTGTTTATTTTAGTATTTACAAATTAAAAAAGTTATAAAAAAGTTATTAGTTAACTTATTAGCTTTTAGATTTATAATAAAATAATCTTTAGTTAATTTGTAATATAATTTATAGAATTCTATAATAATATTTAAGAATTTTAGTCTTTATTATAATAAGCTTTATAATCACTTATAATTTGCTTATATTTGTCTTCTATAAAAAATAGTCTTCTTGTATTTTTTAAGATATATAGGAAATAGTTAATAGATAAGAGAAAAAATTGTAATTTTAGTTATTAAGCAAGTTTTATTCACATAATCATAATCAGAAAAATGAATCAATAAAAAATTTTTGACTAAGAAGTAGATTTTTCTTGTTTTACTGATCACCA